TTGTCATGGTCATAACTATATCTATCCATATAGAATGAATAAATGTTTTTTTATTAGTTACAATAGAAAACAAAAAATAGAAATGCATTCTTGCCATAAATGTAGAATAATTAGACATTTAGCACATATGTGCTATACTTTAGAATACTTTGTTAAATGTTCCAAAAAAATAAGAAATTTTGAGTTAAAGCTTGTAAATTTCATACTGTAGATGCGTTTATAGATTCAATTGGTATTAATAATTTAGAGGCTTATATGAATGATAAAACCTCTAATGATGAGTTAAATGATGCACTCATTGATTTTATAACAACACATACTATCCTACGTAACAAACAATTTGTTACTAAAAAATCTTCAACCTGACAAACTAAAAATTTGATGACCATGGCTAGAGCAAATGCGTTTCATTTCCAACAGAAGGTAGCAATGATAAAATAACCTATGGACTCCATCATAAAATATAATTATGCAATGTTTACACCTTTAATACTTCATAGTCTGATCAGCAACCAAGATATGTATATCAATAGTTATCACTTCTCAAGTACTGCCCTAGATAGGTAAAAAGTTTTAATTCTTGCACAAAATCATACAATTGTTAGAAAAATCTTTTATTGCAACAAATGCTTCATATTAGATTGTAATCCAAACTTCTATTACATTTAATTTTGTATCATCTTTCACAAAGAGTTGCATTTTTCTTTGACATGGAAGATTAGAACATTTAGAATCTACATTATTTTGGAAGATAATTCCATATATAATTAGATATAATTTAATATTTATAGATATAAATTCTATTAAATTATGTCATACATGTGTGAAAGACAAGGTGATTACTTGGTCTTTAATTTAGAAACTCCCATGACAATTACCACAAATTCTTGAAAGGTTGTATAGTGGTATTTGTGATCTTATTAATCCAATATCTGGACGATTTTGTTCTTTTTCTATGGGTGTTGATGTATCATACAAATAATTAGATGTTTGATTATCATCAATATAAAACATAGTATTTTCCAATCTTATATTTATATATTTTTTTTTGGGCATATTTTCTTAATTATCCTATCAAAATATTGTATATAGAAAATGCAAAAGAATTTGTATCAAAGTCTTTTGAAGACTATTGTATTGCAATAAGGATTGAGTTGATATATTATATTTCATATGAACTTGTTTAAAATGGACTTGTGGAGTCATTTATAAAATGTATACAACTCATTACTAGACCAATCCTTCAAATAAATTTACTTGTATTTATGTGGGATCATGCAAACTTGCATGTTGCAACATTAATGCATCTTTGTCTTTCTTTTTTTAAAATTATTATACAATAAGAATTTATTTCACATTGCATTTTTAATCTATCTCACATATAAGTATTTTATTGTAGTATTTAGATTCCAATATTAGAACTTCAATGGTATATTATTAGAGATTATTGACAAAAAGACATATATATTGATTTTGATTTATTAGACATTTTTTGTATTATTGATCTATCATCTAGCACATTATTATGTATATATTTTTAAATTTCTATTTAAAAAAGAATATATTTCTATTTTTTAAGGAAGAATATCTAATCAACAAAGAAATAGAATACTTGTATTTGGAGCACCAAAAATATTTACAATGAATCTTGATCTTAGAACGCCTTTGGCTGAAACTGAAATTGCCAAGTTTTTGTATCTAAAATGAATTGCAGATGAAACACCTGACAGCTTAAATGTTGTACCTTGGATTAAAAGAATTTCCATTAATGAGGCTCAAAATGCACTTGCTTACATTATAGCATCAAAAAATAAAATGATTCATAGACCAAATAAATAATTACATAATAAAAAAGCTATAATATTTGCTGATTTTCATATTATTTTTATAGAAGTTCTTACTAAATCTATGGGACTATCAAATTATATTGATATTTCCATGTAAATTATATCTTCATTTTATGCAATAAAAAATCTTAAAATTAGGAGGAATAAAATTAAATTGAATACTAAAATATTTTTTCTATATTGTGTTACAAAAAATATTTGGGATAGACCATCTATTACAATAGATGAATCATTTATATGCCTGATTGCAAAAGCTCTTTCTTGCAAAAAAGATGACCTAAAGTATAAATTGTTGAAGAAGCAATGCATTGCTTTAATTGATTAAAATATAAAATTGCCATTGAAGAGAAGTATGACTCTTTGCATAAAAAAAAAGTCTTTGATTTAATTGTAGACATTCTTATATCTTGTCATGTAGGATATAAGATAGTATTAGTATATAAGTAAGATGCTAAAAATCAAATAATCTGCTATAAAGTTGATCTTGCTGTCTTGGAATTTATCGAATAGTTTGGCATTGATTATGCATCTTTGTATTTTTTAGTCATAGATTCAATTATATTCTCATATATTATTGGAATCATAGTTCATGCCACCTTCTAGATGCATCTTATGGATGTGATAACTACATATTTGTATGGTTCTTTTGATGTAGATATTTATATGAAAGTTCCACCTAATTTATATATGATTTGTAGATCCAAAATTCATTGGATATTGTAATGCAAGATATAAATTTGATATTGCAACAACTAAATGTCAAACAAGCTATATATTCTAAGAACATGGAGCTGCAATATCATGAAAATTAGTGAAATAAATTATAATTATAACTTTATCCAACCATGTAAAAATTATTATCTTATATAAAGCATCTTGATAATGTATTTGATTGTAATAAATTGATAAATTAATTTAAACAACTTAAGGACTTTCATATAATGATTCTCTATCATAGATATATATTTATTATAACTATTATCTAGGTAATATGAATAGGTAGAAGTAGATAAAAGAAGATTAATTTCATAATATCTTCTAGAAAAGCTTCCTAGAAGCTTTGTAGATGGTATTTTGACTTTACATGTATTTGTAGTTGATTGGTAGGTTAGAAACTTAGTCAACAAGCTAACCATGTGCCACATGTATTAGTAGCTTGCGGAATAAGATAACTATATGGCATCTATATAGAAAACTTGCCTTGTAAATTAAAATATCTATCATGTAAAGTCATTATATTTTTTGGAAGTCCTATAAAATGTGACCACATAGATCCTAGATAGATAGTATATATAGAGGTAAGAGTGAAATCTTCTTTATTCTTGTCAATTCCTTTCTTACTTCTAGTCTAGTTTTAAAAGTCTTTAATTTCTTTATCTTTTGGCAATAGCCATTCTAATTTTTTTTTTGATAGTCTTTAATTTCTTTATTTTTTGGCAATAGCTATTCTAATTTTTTTATAGTCTTTAATTTTTTTATCTTTTGACAGTAGCCATTCCAATTTTTTTTTGATATATATATATATATATATATATATATTATTTTATCATATTTCTTTAAGAGAGTCTCACTTGTTTATTTGCTTTCATCAAATTCTTATCCTTGACAGATTAACAAGAATATACTTACAATATCAAAGCTTTGTCTTTTCTTGATTAAGAGTTTATTATTCCTTTCTCTTGATAAGACTTAAGTGTATTAAAAGTTGCGGATTACCCTCTTTTAAATTGATATTTTTCTTAATATTTTTTCTTTGTTTTCAAGTCTTTTCTTTTATTTTTTTTGAGCAACAATAGACATCTTTCCTTCTTTAAGTATTATCATTAAAAAACTTCTTAAAATGAAGAGTATAATGGCACAAGTATAAAAGCAATTGAAGAAGTTAATGCTTGCAATGCATTAATTTAATTTATCGCCATAGGAAGGAAGAAGAATTGCAAGGAGAAAAAATATAGATAATGACTTTGATGTGAGGTGTGACAATTGACTTTTTGAATTTTGATTTGAGAGTTATATAGGTACACGTCAATGTTACTATAATTCAATGACAATGCCAATGTCTTTTCAATACACACAATTAAAAGTAGAGGATATACAAATTGATATGGTATGTTTCAAACCTCTTATTAAACAAGAAAAGACTTATCGTTATTAGGAAAGATTGTGCTTGTATTGCGGAGAACCTAAGTACACTACTCAATATTGTCCAAAGAAGTGACGCAACTACAAAATGAGGACTACGGCCATTAAAGAAGATAGTGTGTCAAAAAACAAGTTTGCCCAATTATAATAGAGACTATTGTTGAGTTGTTATTTAGCCACTATATGAAAATAATACACATAAATATTTAATTATAGTTGGCACTCTCTATAATATTTATTGTAGGTTAGAAAAAATATTGTAGCTACAATGTTTGGAATGTAGTCGAGAGAAATTGTTTATCTTCTCCCTTTTTCTTTGTATATAAGAGACAACCACATCAAAATACACAGATAACCTCTTTTTTCTTCTATACACTATTTTGTGTGTGTAGACATTACTTTGAGTTACTCTTGTATTTGTCCAAACATTCTCAACTCTTGTATCTGTCCAAACATTCTCAACTCTTGTATCTGTCCAAACATTCTCAACTCTTGTATCTGTCCAAACATTCTCAACAATTCTTATGTCTGTCCAAACATTCTCAACAAGATTGAAAGCAATTTAGAAATCAACACACTTATACACACAGCAAAAAAATACAACGATCAAACTAATCAAGGCACAAGATTTGGCCTTGAGATTCGGCAAGATTCATCAAGATGGACAAATACTAAGAAATATATGGTCATGGTGAAATCATTTCAAGGGCGACAGGACAATATCCCAGAATTGGGTACTTCTGAGCAGTGTAAGAAGATGCTGTGGCTGTGAAATCCACAACATTTTGAAGGCACAGATCCCTAGAGAAGGTGGGGTGGCATAGGATGCCGCGTTTTAGAAAGAGGGGATGATGGCAGAGAACGTCGTAGGCTGCATCTCCGGAGAAGAAATCCTTCTTGGGGATTCAAATGAGTGATCCTTGTGGGTGGGGTTTTTTTTTTCTTTTATATATATATATATATATATATATAGGGGGGAGGGAGATGGGTGCATTGTCCACACGTTGCCATCGTCCCAGCTGAAACCAATCCTTAGGCCCACCAAAGGCGGGCGCCTTTCTCCATGTTTCTGCAACCTTCGAGGGCCCCTTTCCGCCTGTGTAAAGACCAGTGACGACTCCGAGGCAGCTTTGTGCGATGGTTCATGCCCAAAAAACGAGACAATTCCCTTGTTTGCTTCGTTTGCAAGGCTTCTCGCAGCGGTAGTCCGTTTGAGTCGATCTGTGCCCGAAATCAAGATTAATTGCACCTTTGAACCTTGTTGTTTGTTTGTTTGTTTTCCTTCTTTTTGTTTTTGATGTATTTGTTCTGTTGAAGCAGGAGTGTAGTGCTAGGATCCTTTACGAATCGGCAGTTCAAAGAACAGAGCTGGTGGTGGTAGTGGTTAGTATATCAGGAATTTGGGTGGCGGTGGAGGATGACGACGAGATATATGCCTGAGGTGAGAGCCATTGGCGTTAAGCGTTGGAATATATGAGATGTTTCTTGTCTCGGAGATCGGGTTGTCTGTGCAATTCACTTCACTAAATTACGAGGCAAAGCTCACAGTAGAAATACAGCGAGTTTACTGGACTATTACATGGTTCTTTAGTTGTGCTTTCGTTCCCGATTTTGTGTGTCCCGAGTAATCGAGGAAGTAGCTTTTTTGTTTGGCTGTGTGGTCTTTGACGAATTCAACACATTAACGGCCAATTCGGTGCTACTTCGTATATTCTAAAGAATTGTATGTCATGTACAACCGTCATGGTGCATGTTACTCTTACGTGTTTCGGATTATTATCATCCCAACGTTTCAAAATGAGGAAGTCGATTGTGTAATTTAACGCAGTAAGGAGATTGAAAATGCAATCAGAGAAGGTGGTGATTTTAGGACAATACTCAGAAGGGTGACAGTCTAAAACCTTCTGTCTGAATCACAACCTTGAAAATTAAGCATTGTGTACGCGTAGCGTGCGAAGCCACATGCGGCCTGATGCTTTACTCTATTATGAAGACGATCTTTGATGATTTGATGTGTTGTGTTATTTTATGGCGGTGTGCAGCTTGATCTGTATGGGCCACCTGAGCCCATTTGGGTCATCAACAACCGTCGGCGGCTTGTCGGTCAACCTATGGATCCCTACTATCGTCCAGGAGCCGAGTTTGGCCCCTACTCTAGAGGATTGCTTGTGCCGGTGAGTGTTTTTTGTTTTTCGTTACTTCGATCATATGGAGATTTATCCATCGATTCGGCCTTTCTCTTGGTCACCACTGGTATCTGGGATAATTCTTCCTTACAGCATATAGCTGAAGCTGGAAAAGTGAAGTTTCTCTAGCAGAGACAGGTTTTCTTATTCTGTGTTGGTAATGTCGCTGTGCAGGATGTGCATCTGAAGGCTCCCATTTATACCTTGGAAGACATCGCCAGAATCAAGGATGCTCTGGCGTTAGAAGGTAAAAATAGCATGCTGGAATGCCCTAATCCCTGCCCTTGTTACTTTGACGGGGCCTATTGCGTCTCTTGTTTTCATGCTGCCTCACTCTTTTTCTTTGAAACATTCCAAAGGACTTTTGAATGATAACACCAACGGATATTTTTCCAGGTGTCTACAACGTGATATGCGACATTCCAGATCAAACAGTGATAGTGTCCACCAGACTAAGCCCCAGCACAATTACTAGTCTAGTACGACAAGTGATTGGGGAGGCAACGCTGATCAATGTTGTTGAACCTTATCCCCTTACAGCTCCAGTTGTAAGGCCCAGATACTCTGCATACGATGACATGTACACTTATCCAAGCATCTACGCTCCCGTCTTCGATCCTTACAGCGGTCGATCATATGGCAACGAGTTTCGACCCGCCCGCTACTACACTGGTTACTACTAAGTTGCTGATCCCCAGCGCCAGTCGAGAGCAACTGAAATTTTGCAACTTTGCGGTGGTATACTTCGTGCAGGTGTTCAGGATGAGCATCTACGGTGAAAATGTTGATACCCAATCAACGTAGCATATGTTCAATGGATAATGATTACAATATACAGTCAGGTAGCCTTGTATTGGGTGGACTTGCAGTTGGCTGAATTTTGTTAAGGTAAACCTCGAAGTAGTTGGTTGCAGCAGCCCATTCGGCATTGGAAAGTCCTCGTTGACGCCCTGCTGGTTTTAATTGCGATGCTGCAGCTGCGTTTCACACAGAAAGTTCTGTGAACAAGAGATAGACCATGTCTTCGGAGCTGGGAATGTTGGGATATTGCCTCCCCAAAACGATAGCTTGTATCTCACAGATGTGTAATTAATGTACAGGAAGTTACATAGCCAAGAAACTGCCGCTGTTTTTCTGATCGCACTCTGTAAACGTGTTCATTTGTTGTGTTATGTGAAGCTTATGGCAAAAGGTGGTGTTTCATCACTATCATCAATACAAAAGAACTGCGGACACGACATGATTGAAACACATGAAACTTGACACAGATTATTGCTCACGAACTTAAGTGATGATTCGACTCAGTTGCTTTCACCAAGTCTTACAAGGAAATGGACACCTGAGCACATCTTTCCTGCTTCTTACAGCATGTATGAATAGATTACAGTTGGTGATGCAGAAATCGTTGCACCGTGATGTAACTTGTATAAAAGCAACACATTTATTTCCGCATCCGTACATGTTCCACTTAATATGGAACAAGCTCTACCACTGTAACTATGTTTAACAATGAAATTGAGATTCTGCAGCAGCTACACTGTGTGCACAGATGAGGTTGCACTCCGCAATCGACTAGGTAAACTGGCTAGACTTTCATTCTTCGGAGCTACACAAACTGAGCACAAGAACTCACAGAGTAGTCATGAAACTCGAAAAATTTCTACACAGGCCATTATAAAGGGGCCAATACCCTTGGGGTCGTTGGTGACAACAGCTTCACTTAAGTAGTATTCGTAACTACCATCACGGTAAGGCTTCCCCCCCAAGCCTCCCACCGAAACAGTCCTCAAGTAGTTCACACCACCATCTGGGCCGCTGTCAACAAAGTGTGCAACAATTCCGTCGTATCCCTTCAAAGCACTGTCGAGATAGTCATCCTTAGACAAGTAAGCTAAACGAATTCCTTTCGCAAGAGTGTACACAAACATGGCGGAGGCCGACGACTCCAGATAGTTCCCGGCCTCACCCCCCTTGTCCATCACCTGCCACCATAGCCCAGACTGCGCATCCTGAAATCTCTTCACTGCTGAAGCAATACGGTTCAGAATGGCGACCATCTCAGATCGCTTGGGGTGATCCACGGGAAAGAATTCCAACGTATCGAGCACTCCCATTGCAAACCATCCCACTGACCGACCCCAAATGCTCGGCGAGCACCCCGTCAATGGATCCGCCCATGCCTGAACCCTAGCTTCGTCGTATCCGTGATACAGCAACCCTGTCGTCTCGTTCCGCGTCCGATTCTCCATGATGATGAACTGTGCAGCAATGTCGTCAAAAGCAGAACGGTCATCGAATTCTTTCGCATAGCGGGCGTAGTACGGCTCCGCCATGTACAGCCCATCCAGCCACATTTGGTAGGGGTACACATCCTTGTGCCAGAATCCCCCTTCGTTCGTGCGTGGCTGCTTCCGCAACTGCTCACGGAGTATATCCGCAGCCGTCTTGTACTTCAATGCGCCTGTACTTTTGAAGAGTGTGAGAAGCAGCCTACCTGTGAGGATGCTGTCCAGCTGGAATTCGTTGAATTTGTAAGTGTTAATCGTCCCATTATCGGTCACAAATCGGTCAATCTTGAACTTAATGAAATCTAAATACTTCTGATCCTGGGTAGTCTCCGAGAGAAGCTCAACCCCGCGGAGAAACACCCCAAGCTCGTACTGGAACCGATCCTTCGCAGGACCCGTGACATTCCACAGACTCATCGACGTAACGCCCATCTGCTTCGCGAAGTCCAACGCTTGCTGCCCCGAGACGTGTTCCATAGCGGGTGCAATCGCCAACGTCGCGGCGAAGAGTACCGTAATCAGCGCTACAAATGCGAAAACCTTCAACAAGACGATCCTGTGATGACGGCTTGTGGCGAGAATCTTCGCAATCACTTCACCCCCTACCATTTTCATACTGAAGGCCGCAGATGAACGATTCTCTACTCTGTCATACCGACTGACCTAAGCCTCTCACCGAATCCTCACATGATTGATCCTCTCTGGCAGTAGCTGACGCAACTCACATCACCAACACAACGTTAGAGCTTTGTACCGATGAGTGAAGTAATCCATCGATGTAGCCTGCGCAACATCCTGACATAATTAAGAGGGCACGATGCGCGCGAATCGGTGAGAGAATGTCAGAGAATGAAAGCTGCACACAGTGAACAACGACCGCAGTGTACTCGACATGATGTTGTGGAGAGGGAAATCGAACGTAGAAACGACGTCGCGAGAAGACGCCTCACGTCTGGGTAAGTGGCCGAATGGCGCAGCTGCATCGAAGTACACCACTCCACCCCACAAGTTTTGTGTTTTGTGTTTTGTTTTGCTATTTCTTTGTCACAAAATGGGATATTCCGGCTGCGTGAGTTAAACTAGTCACAACGCATGTTAGGTCTTCACACCCTAAAATCAAACCTGCCCTAGTTGCCTCAGAACTAGTGTACACAACTAGCCTTCCATACTCCACCATGAGTGATTAGGTCACAAGATGCAACTCTTGAGTTCTATTGGGTTTTCATTCCACTTCATAGACTTAACAGACCTTTGCTTGTTCACATTTTTGTTTTGTTTTCTTTAAAGGAATATTTGTCCATTATTTGGTTGTTGTGCTAGTCCACTCTTTATCAATTTGATTTTCAAATTTACTCATTGCTTCATATTTTTTTATGAAAATGAAAGCATTTTTTTGAAGGTGTATATATCATGAATTTATTCTTTTAAATAGTCATCAAATAATTGCATGGAATCTACTAAAGGTAGTTTACATTCTTTTTTGAAAAAATAAATTGGATCCACAAAAAAGATTTATATGATTTTCATCTTCTTCAATTTGTAATTAAATTACAAAAAATAGAAGGGACAAAGCTCCAAAATTTAATGTCTCTATAGGATCTTTAAATCATTTATACAATTGTTACTTATTTGCAAGCCATATTCAAAAATTAGAGAGGCAAAAATCTTTAAATTAACAAATGACTCTTTAAATGTCTACTACAACTCTTCTTTATAGTGTCATTTATATTAATGTAGACTCTTTTTTTGTTTAAGGGCCAAATTATGTATTTTTTTAATTAAATTAAAATTCAAAATTTAATATAGTCTTTATCTTATTCAGTCTTTTAGTTTTTTTTTTTCTTCTAAATTATACAAAATTAGATATTATAAATGTTAAAATAAGAATAAGATATAATTAACTTAGATAAGTTGCTAATGATTAAAAAGAAATAAAAGAATGAAGATAACTTATTAATGTGGATGCTAAATTAAGAAGAATCTAGAATTAAGTTTGATGGATGAAGATGATTATAGATGAAGTTCAACTACAACAGATATTAACTCTTCCTATAAGTAAAGAGTGTTGAAAGAAAGAGGCATGATATTCCATACTTCTCTTGTGTACAACCATTCTGATTTCTACTTTCTTGTGTCTTACTTATTATATTTCTTCAATAGGTTATAGGCCCGCACATACTTTGTTGTGCCATTCAAATAAGTTGATGTTATTCTCTAATGGTTGTACTTGTATAGAATAGATCTTATGGTATTTGATATTAAGATTTGTAGGATCTAAACTTGTATTTTGACATGAAAAGGTACTAATTTTGAACTTATAGATCTCTAACATTGTTTGGTGGATTCTTAATTCCTAGAATTGTGAGTTTAAGACTTTATAGAAAGACCTTGATAGTGACTTTTTGAGTTGTTGAAGTAATTTCACTTACCTTGTGTGTATTGTGAAATAGTTGGTTTGAAAGAGTGGAATATCTTGATAGTGAGGTTCATTAGAGTGTACATACTTATTAAAAGCTTAAAAACTTGATTTGAGAGTGTTTTGAGTGAAAAAACACTCCATTGTTTACAAGAGGGCATTATGAGTTTTTGCTAGTGTCAAATTAATTTCATGATTTTGAATACATAGAAACTCCTTTTCTTGATATTTTTTGATAGAACTCTTCTTAAACATGGCTTCTAGCGAAGAAGAAGGTTTGAGAGTAATTGAGAAGTTTAGAAGGGATAATTTCTACCATTGGAAGGTCAAAATCGAGCTTTTATTGGCATCTTTGAACCTTTGGAATATTGTAGATGAAAGTAAAGAGCCTCTAAGTACATATACAAAAGCTAAAGTGAAGGACTTCAAAAGACGTGAAAAAAAAGTTTTTGGCATAATTGCCACTAATTTTGATAAAGCAAACTTTTCTTATATTATCTCTTGTAAAGGACCAACAGAAGCATAAAAGATTCTTTGTAATATATATGAAGGCAAGAACTTATCCAACATCATCTTCACAAGGAGAAAATTCTTCACTTGCAAGATGGAAGAAGGTGAAGACTTCATAGCTCATGTCACTAAGGTAAGGCTCTTACAAACTAACTAGCAATTATTGACAAGGCTTTAGAAGAGAGTGATATTGTCATGACCTTGCTTATGAGCCTTCCTAAGTCCTACAACTTCTTTATTGTGGCATTAGAATCTATCAAGTTGAAGGAACTTACAATGGACTACATGATGTTAAGACTTACTTATAAAATAATCAAGAAAAAAGAAAAATAATCTTAAAGTAAAGATTTGACTTTCTTTTCAAGACAAGACAAGGAAATCTATCTTAATCAATGTGGCAATGTGAAAACTTACTTCATTCATGGAAAACCAATTTACTTTGTATAAAATTGCTACAAGGTAAAAAAAAAAAAAAAAAAAAAAAAAAAAAAGATAAAGAAAGTATCAATAATGTATATGAGTAATTTAGATGACATGATTTTGTATTTATGGAAAGTGAAGATACTTTTATGACTACAATATCTAAGTAGATTATTGACTTAGATGCCACCAATCACATAACTCTATAGAAGTGTTCATTTGATATTTATGAAGAAATTTCAGCAACAAATATTTTTATGGGAGATAATGGCATGGTACAAGCTATTAGAATGGACTCTATTTTAGGAGAAATTTTTATGAGAAGACAAATCAAGAAGATCAGATTAAAAGATGTCTTGAATGTTTTTAAGATCAAGAAAAACCTCTTTCGATGAGCAAATTAATTTCATATGATTGTAAAGTAAAATTTGATAATAATAGGTGCTTTGTAAAGACATTGGATGGAGATGATGTTGCTAAGGGCTTTAGAAATGGCAATATCTACTTCATTAAGTGTAGAAAAATAAATAGATTTGAA